GATCTCCTGATTCTGCTGTTTCCCATATAAGACTGTTAGCTCTTCAGGGTAAGAACTGTATTTTTGCCTTTCTTTAATATCTCCAGCCCTCAGCACAGTGCACAGAACAGATTGAGTATTTAATACATTCTTCTTGATGATGATGATGATTTTGGATTATGTCTAGAGTTTTTATAAAACAGATTAGAAAGGTATTCAATCTACAATTTGAATAAGGTGTGAGGTAGGCATTCATTTTCTACATGCATAATTAATAATAAATACTCACTAGCATGTATTTGACAAAAAAAACCCTTCAAACAAGGAATGTTAGCCATAAACTTCTAAGCTGCCACTATTTAGCTATGACTTGACTGGAACTCAGGACCTTTGAACCTCTCAAACTCATAAGCTCACCTCCAAACCTGGACATATCCATCTTGGGAATGATACTTGTTCATCTAAGACCAGAAAAGAAGAAACACAAAAGAAGCAGCCCAAATACAGGTACACTCTTGCATAAGCAGGATACATGCTTTAAATACTACATGTCATGGCCATATGGAGGCTAGAGTATGGATAGAGCAAGCCTCCCTCTGCCCCAACCCTCTCTATGGAATAGTATAAAACAGTCCTGAGACGATTCATAGCTGGAAAGGAAGAGAGAAAACTGAAGGTGAGAATGGTCCCTTTTAAACACTCATTGTATCATTGGCTTATCTGGTTCCAGAACCAGCAAAAAAAACCACATCATCATTTAAGTGCAAGCCCTTGCCATGGGTAGTCCAAGTCAATATGATAAAAATGACAATTACCTAAATCAATCTACTTATTCAGAGCCATACCAATCAAACTACTAAACAATTATTTTATAGGGATAGAGAAAATAATAACAAAATTCATTTTTGTTCATTTGTGGTTAGAGAAGAACAAAAGGTCAAGAATATTGAGGGAATCAATTAAAAAATGTGAAGCAAGTTGGCCTAGCCATATCAGATCTCAAACTGTTATTATATAGCTGTAATCATCAAAACAATCTGGTACTATCTAAGAAATAGTGGTGGATCAGTGGAATAGATTAGGTACACAATACATCGTAGGAAATGACCATAGTAATTTAGTGTTTGAAAAACCCAAAGATCCAAGCTTTTGGGACAAAAACTCATTATTTGACAAAAACTGCTGGGAAAACTGGAAAACAGTATGGCAGAAACTAGGTATAGACCAACATCTCACACCATATACCAAGATAAGGCATAGGTACATGATTTAGACATAAAGCATGATAGCATAAGCAAATTAGTAGAGCATGGTACAGTTTAACTGTCAGATCTATGGTTAAGGGAAGAATTTAGAATCAAACAAGAGACACAGAGCATTACAAAATGTAAAATGGATAATTTTGATTATATAAAATTAAAAGTTTTTGCATAAACAAAACCAATGTAACCAAGATTAGAAGGAAAGGAGAAAACTAGGGGGAAATTTTTATGGCAAATGTCTCTGATAAAGGCCTCATTTCTCAAATATATAGAGAACTGAGTCAAATTTATAAGATAACAAGTCATTCCCTAACTGATAAATGGTTAAATGATATGAACAGGCAATTTTCAGACAAAGAAATCAAAGCTAACTAATCAAAGTCAAATGAAAAAATGCTCTAAATCACATTGATTAGAGAAATAAATGCAAATAAAAACAACTCTGAGGTACTACCTCACAGTCATCATATTGGTTAATATGACAAAAAAAAAAAGGAAAATGATAAATGTTGGAGGGGATGTGTGAAAACTGGGACCCTAATGTACTGCTGGTAGAGTTGTGAACTGATCCAACCATTCTAGAGAATAATTTGGAACTATGCCCAAAAGGCTCTAAAACTGTGTATACCCTTTGACCCAGCAATATCACTACTAGATCTCTATTCTAAATAGATTTTTTTTAAAAAGGGAAAAGAACTTATTTGTATAAAAATATCTATAGTGGCTCTTTTTGTGGTGGCAAAAAAATTGGAAATTGAGGAGATGTCTATCATCTGGGGAATGGCTGAACAAGTTATGGTATATGATTGCAATAGAACATTAGAGAATATTATGTAATAGAATATTATGCCATGAGAAATGACAAGTAAGATGATTTCAGAAAAACCTGAAAAAAACTTACATGAACTGAAACAAAGTGAAGTGAGCAGAACCAGAATACTGTACACAGTAACAGCAACACTGTATGAAGAACAATTATGAATGACTTAGCTATTTTCAGCAATACAATGACAACCCCAAAGAATTTATGATGAAAAATGCTGTCTGCCTCCACAGAAAGAACTGATATCATCTGAAACATACTATTTTTCACTTTTCTTTTTCTTTTTTTCCTTCTTCCTTTTCTTTCTTTTGACCAAATATTCTTGCACAAAATGACCAATATGAAAATGTTTTACATGATTGTATATTTATAACCTATATCAGATGGCTTACTGTTTCAGAAAGGGGAAAGGGGAGGTAGCAATTAGAATTTAGAACTCAAAACTTTTTTAAAAGTGTCAAAAATTGTTTTAACATGTAATTTGGGGGGGAAATGTCCTTTAAAAAAAATGAAATACAAGTCCTTCAGCCCTGAGTCACACATGGCTGACAGCAAGACCCATTATTCCCACCTAGTCAACTTGAACCAGGAATCAGGAAGGTGAATTCCAAGTATGCTCCATAGGATGAGCCTTATTACATATTTCTTTTGTATATACTTATTTATGTACATATTAACTTCCTCAGCAGCATATACTTCTTTAGGGCAAACTCATTATATTTGTGTGTGTATATATACATATACATACACACACATATATTATACTTGTATATGCGCAGGACCTAGCACAGTGCTTCAGACATTGGTTGACCGATTGACTGAATATGATGGAGTTGATGAGGATGGGATCTAGATCCTAAAAAAGAAAACCCTGGACTTTTCCACAAAGCCTAATCTCTGGAGGTCTCCTGAGGCTATAATCCCCATCAACTGGCCTTTCATTGTGGCTACACCCAATCTGTTACTCTTAGCCTAACCTTGCCCTCCATTGTCTTACCTCCCTATGGCCCCCAGCCATTTCCTACCCTTAATCCTAGCTAGGCTCCATTCTCCCTTGGCCATGTGGTCCAGGTCCCAAGAGTTCTGTTCACCTCAGCTTACTGGCCACTCCCATCCAGATCTCCTGAGACCCCTCCTCCAGTCACCTCAAACTACTTGGTCACTCCTAGATCCCTCCCACAGTCTTTCTGTATATAAGATCCATCTTGTCTCCATTAAGATGCTCGGATTCTTATAATCTGGTCAATAGCTCACAGATGCTCAGATTCCTTAAGAGTCTGGCTAATATGGCAGATCTTTAATAAACCTTATCTTTGACTGAAAGGAGGCTTGGGTCGAATTCTTTAGGACAGGACCCATGTGTTGTGATCTCAGGGTCCCAGCACCCCTAAACCTTTAGACCTCATCAGAGTCAGAGAATCATGGGTAGATTTGTACAGACTTCTCTAACCACAGAATTTTGGAGTTGAAAGGGTCTTCTGTAGCCATCTAGTCCAACCCATACACAAAATAAGCCCCTTTATCCTTTTCTGAAAATCAGAACATTTGCTCTTCTCTAATCTTGTATACTTCTCCCATTTTTCCATGATTTTTCAAACATCACTGACAGAAACTAAGTGAGAACCTGGAAGGACCTTAGCTCAAAAGGGCTAATCTCCTGGGCCATTTCCAGTCATCCTGATGAATATCTTGCCACTGGATCCACATGGCTCTGGAGGAGAAAGTGAGGCTGGTGACCTTGCACAGCCCTCCCTCACTCAAATCAAAGTGAACTGCAAGTCAAATCACCATCTCTCTGATGTCATTGTCCTTTTGGAGAATGGACAAACACAACAAGCTCTCAAAGACTGAGCCTCAAACCCAATTCACTCTGGCGCTCATAGATTAGACAACAATAGGTCCCTGTCCAAGCACCACTTATGGTTATTTTTTTGGGCCCTCCTTTCTCTGAGTGAATGTAAATAGAAACTGTTTCTCTTTTAGTGAGCAACCAGTAGGGTCTTCCCCTCCCAGTTTGATTTTTTTTTTTAATTAAAGGGGCCATCCCTTGATTCACTCCTTAAAGAGGCCTATTCACTGAACAGGTGTTGCCTCACTCAGATTGAGAACTTGAGAAGACTTTAGCTTAAAAAGGCTAAAGTCTCCTGATCTATATCTCCCCAATGGACCCAGATGGATCTGGAGGAGGCTGGTGACCTTGCACAGCCCTCCTTCACTCAAATCAAATTCAATTGCAAGTCATGTCATCATCTCCCTGATGTCATTGTTCTTTTTGAGAACAAAGGACAAACACAACAACAAAGTATAGACCAATATTTTATACCATATACCAAGGTAAGCTCCAAATGAGTATGATATAGATTTAAAAGGTGACATCATAAATTAGAAGAGCAAGGAAGAAACAATCGAACAAGCGATAAAGAGATTCACAGGAGGTAAAACAGATAATTTTGACTCTATGAAATTTAAAAGTTTTTGAATAAGTAATGTCAATGCAGTTAAAAGAAAAGCAGGTAAATGGAAGAAAAAATTTTGCAGCAAGTTTCTTTGATAAAGGTCTCATTTCTAAAATACATAGGGCACTGATTCAAATTTATAGGAATAAGAGATTCTCCAATTAATAATTGGTCAAGGTATATGAATAGGCAGTTTTCAGAGGAAGAAACCCTAGCTACCAATAATCATATGAAAAATCATTCTAAATCACCAATAATTAGAGAAACAAAAATGAAAACAACTCTGAGGTAATATCTCACACCCATCAGATTAAGAAAGTTGACAAAAAAGAAAATGACAAATGGCAGAGGGGCTGTGGGAAAATGGGTACATTAATGTATTGTTGGTAGTTCAAAGGCTGAACTCCTTCAGCCATTCTGGAGAGTAATTTGGAACTATGCCCCAAAAGCTATTAAACTGTGTATATCCTTTGACATGGCAATACCACTACTAAATCTATATCACAGAGACAAAAGAGGAAAAGGACCCATATCTACAAAAATATTTATATCCAATACCTCTGACAGTGGCTCAATCATCCCATCTGCCAGCTCTTTCAGTACCCTAGGAGGTTATTCCATTGGGCCAGGTGATTAGAATTGATCAAAATCAGCCAGTCCCTTTTATCTCCTTACCTATTTTGGGTATCACCACCATTGTTAGTCATTTGCATTCTGTCATTTCCAGTGTAAAGTTCATCCTCTTTTGCTGAGAAAACAGGATCTAAATATGAATTCAGCAGCTCTGCTTTCTCTCTGTGTTCAGTGACCATGGTTCCATCCATGCAAAGGTTTTAGTCCTCCTCTGAACCTTCTTTTTTTTCTAACAATATAGCTATTTAAAAGAAAAAACAAAACTTTATTGCCTTAAGTCCTCTTGCTAGCCCCAACTCATTCTGAGCTTAAGCAGTCTTGAAATTATTTTTACAGGACTGATGGGGTTGGGATCTAGACCCCACAAAGGAAAAACCCTGGATTTTCCCACTTGGCCAAATCTCTGGCATTTTCCTGAGGCTATAATCCCATCAACTGGCCTTTCATTGTGGCTATACCCAGTCTCCCAATTCTGTTCCACCTTGTCTCCATTAAGAGGCTTAGATTCTTATAATCTAGCCACTGCTTAGATTCTTATAATCTAGCCATGGCTGGGATTCTTATAATCCAGGCATTGCTAGGATTCTTATTATCTAGCCACGGTTTAGATTCTTATAATCTAGCCAATAGCTCATTAATGTTCAGACTCCTTAAGAGTCTGCCTAATATGGCGAATGTTCTAATAAACCTTGTCTTTGGCTGAAAGAAGGCTTGGGTTGAATTCTTTTGGACTGGACTGCACTGGATATTGGGATGCCAGCACCCCGAGCCTCTAAACCGCATCAGGACCATCTCATATTCTTCTATTCATTCTCCATTACCTTGCTTTGCTTCCATCTTCTGTACAAATCTTTTTGAAATCTAAGTTGGTTGGTGAGTTCCTTGTGTATCCACATCCATCTCTTCATACAAATCCCATTTTTCCTCATTGGAATTCTTTCCCTTTGTGTCTTCAGCATCTCTCTTGAGCATTCCTGGGCATCTCTCATCCCTTCTGAATTGTAGCATCTTATTTCACACGTTCAATTTATTCATAGTGAAATAAGCAGAGCCAAAAGAAGAATGTACAGTGACTACAATAATATAAATGAAAAGAACATTAAAAAGAAACTCTAAGTAACTGAAAAAGTAATAATGTCCCAAATAATAGGTAACTAGACATAACTCCCTGCTCTTTGAAGAGAGGTAAGAGACGAGAAAGAAAGAACACCGCACACAATTGTCAGACCTCATCGCTCTATCAATTGGTTTTTGGTTAGCTATTTTTCTCTGTCACAAGAGAGGGTTATAAGTCAGATCGGAGGTATGTATGTATGCCGAAGTGACTGTGATGCAAAAAAAAATACATTAATAAAACAATTCTAAACATAAATAAAATGAAAATTTTTTTTAAATCTCAGAACTTACAATTATTCAAAAAGGATAACTGAAAGAATATCAACAACTACTTACCACAGGCATACTCTCCCATCTATAGATCATTTTCATGAGACTAATTTACACATGCATTGATGAGGGTATTAAAAGGCAGTAGGAATAGGAATGCATTTGCAAATAACATTCCATAGCAGACCACAATTTTACCATTACACAGCTGACTAAAAGATGTAGAGAATATAAGAACCCCCTGTACTTACTTTTTGTTTATTATAAAAAAGCATTTGATTAAACAAAGGAAAATATTCTCTTAATAGAGGAAAACTCTCCTCCAAAAAACTCCACGCAATGTCAAAATTATATAAGATTCCACAAAAGACTAATAGAAATAACCATGAAAATCACTTGATCACTAATATAAAGAATAAATGTAAAGAAATATAAAGAATGTAAAGGAATAAAATAATTAAATATAAATAAATATATAAAATATATTATATGAATATATAATTCAATATAAAGAAATAAAATAATATAAAAAATAAATGCAAAGAAATATAAAGAATGTAAATAAAAAAAGAATACATGTGCTCACCAAAGGTATTCATCACTGTCATGGATATCCACAGCAGAATTTTTGTTGAAGAGAGAGATTCTCTACAGATGATGGGTCCTTCAGATGTCATATTTACAGATAACAATGTGCTGATTGCATCTAGACCTAGAACGCTGTAAAACATCCTGAATGAGATCCATAATCATTCAAAAGAATTTGGCCTTAACTACACACACAGGAAAAACCAAGCATGCAAAGAATGTATATTGTCCAGACTATGATATAGAGTTGAATGGAGAACTCATCAAGATTGTTCATCAATATATACATGCACTGTGGACAGCCACTACAGATGGATTGAACTCAGAGGAGAAGATAAGCTTGGATTACCTTTGAAGGAAATTCAATGATCTTTCAATGTTTTAATATTCTATTTAAGACAAAGGTTCATCTTTTTATTTTTTTTTGAAGGGTTTTATTTTTATTATTTTTTAATTAATTTTTTCCCCAATTTTATTAATTCATTGATTTATCAACAATCACTTCCATATGCTTTTGAGTTGAAAATTTTTCTTCCCCTTCCTCCCCACCACCCTCCCCAAGATGGTGCACAATCTGATATAGGTTTTACATTTACATTCCTATTAAACATATTTTCACATTAGTGAAGTTGTAAGTAAAAATTAAAACCAATAGGAGGAACCATCAGAAAGATGAAACAAAACTCAACAGGAGGTAAAAATAAGTGATAACGATTCAACTTCCATAGTTCTTTCTTTGGATGTGGACAGCATTTTCCATCCGAGGCCTCTGGAGATGTCTTAGATCCTTGTAATGCTGAGAAGGGTTCAGTTTAACAATCTTAGTCATTGTATAATGTGGCTGTTATTGCATACAAAGTCCTCTTGGTTCTGCTCACTTCACTCAGCATCAGACCATACAAGTCTTTCCAGGCTTTTCTGAAGTCAGCCTGTTCATTATTTCTTATAGCACAATAGTATTCTATCACATTCATATACCACAACTTGCTCAGCCATTCCCCAATTGATGGGCATCCTCTCAATTTCCAATTCTTTGCCACCACAAAAAGAGCTGCTATGAATATTTTTGTACATGTGGGTCCTTTTCCCATTTGTTTGATCTCTTTGGGATATAGCCCTAGAAGTGCTATTGCTGGATCAAAGGGTATGCACATTTTTGTAGCCCTTTGGGCATAGTTCCAAATTGTTCTCCAAAATGGTTGGATCATTTCACAACTCCACCAACAATGTATTAGTGTTCCAATTTTCCCACATCTTCCCAACATTTATCATTTTCCTGTTTTGTCATGTTGGCCAATCTGATAGGTGTGATGTGGTACCTCAGAGTTGTTTTGATTTGCATTTCTCTAATCAATAACGATTTAGAGCATTTTTTCATATGACTATAGATGGCTTTAATTTCTTCATCTGAGAACTGTCTGTTCATATCCTTTGACCATTTATCAATTGGGGAATGGCTTGTGTTCTTATAAATTTGTCTTAATTCTCTATATATTTTAGAAATGAGGCCTTTATCAGAGAGACTGGTTGTAAAAATTCTTTCCCAATTTTCTACCTTCCTTCTAATCTTAGTTGCATTGGCTTTGTTTGTGCAAAAACTTTTCAATTTAATGTAATCAAAATTATCCATTTTGCTTTTCATAATGTTCTCTATCTCCTGTTTGGTCATGAATTCTTCTGTTCTCCATAGATATACTATTCCTTGTTCTCCCAGTTTACTTATGGTATATCTAAGTCATGAACCCATTTTGACTTTATTTTATATGGTGTGAGATTTGGGTCTATGCCTAGTTTCTGCCATACTCTTTTCCAGTTTTCCCAGCAGTTTTTTTCAAAGAGTGGGTTCTTATCCCAGAAGCTGGGGTCTTTGGGTTTATCAAATAATAGATTACTATAGTCATTGACTACTGTGTCTTGCATATTTAACCTATTCCACTGATCCATCTCCATATTTCTTAGCCAGTACCAAGCAGTTTTGATGATTGCTGCTTTATAATACAATTTAAGATCTGGAATTGCTAGGCCACCTTCCCCTGCATTTCTTTTCATTAGTTCCTTTGATATTCTGGACCTTTTGTTTTTCCAAATGAATCTTGTTATTATTTTTTCTAACTCTATAAAATAATTTTTTGGTAGTTTGATTGGTATGGCACTGAATAAGTAAATTAGCTTAGGTAGGATTGTCATTTTTATTATATTAGCTCGGCCTACCCATGAGCAACTGATGTTTTTCCAATTATTTAGATCTGATTTTATTTGTGTGAAAAGTGTTTTGTAATTGTGTTCATAGAGTTCCTGGGTTTGTTTCGGGAGGTAGACTCCTAAATAATATATAATGTCTACAGTAAGTTTAAATGGGATTTCTCTTTCTATCTCTCGCTGTTGGGCTTTGTTGGGAATATATAGAAATGCTGATGATTTATGTGGGTTTATTTTATACCTTGCAACTTTGTTAAAGTTGTTTATTGATTCAAGTAGCTTTTTACTTGATTCTCTAGGATTCTCTAAGTATATCATCATGTCATCTGCAAAGAGCGATAGCTTTATTTCTTCTTTGCCTATTCTAATGCCTTCAATTTCTTTTTCTTCTCTTATTGCTAAAGCTAAGGTTTCCAGTACAATATTGAATAACAGTGGTGATAATGGACATCCTTGTTTCACCCCGATCTTATTGGAAATGCTTCTAGCCTGTCCCCATTACATATAATGCTTGCTGAAGGTTTTAGATATGCTATTTATTATTTTAAGGAAGACTCCATTTATACCTATGCTTTCTAGTGTTTTTAATAGGAATGGGTGTATTTTATCAAAAGCTTTTTCTGCATCTATTGAGATGATCATGTGGTTTCTGTTGGTTTTGGTGTTGATATGCTCAATGATGCTGATAGTTTCCTAATATTGAAACAACCCTTCATTCCTGGTATAAATCCTACCTGGTCATAGTGTATTATTCTTGTGATAAGTTGCTGCAATCTATTTGCTAGTATTTTGTTTAAAATTTTTGCATCTATATTCATTAGAGAAATTGGTCTATAATTTTCTTTCTCTATTTTGACTCTTCCTGGTTTAGGTATCAACACCATATTTGTATCATAAAAAGAATTTGGTAAGACTCCTTCTTCACCTATTTTCCCAAATAGTCTATATAGTATTGGAATTAATTGTTCTTTAAATGTTTGATAGAATTCATGTAAATCCATCTGGCCCTGGAGATTTTTTCCTAGGGAGTTCATCAATGGCTTGTTCAATTTCTTTTTCTGAGATGGGGTTATTTAAGTATTTTACTTCCTCTTCGTTAATCTGGGCAATTTATATTTTTGTAAATATGTATCCATTTCACTAAGATTGTCAAATTTGTTGGCATATAGTTGGGCAAAATAATTCCTAATTATTGTTTTAATTTCCTCTTCCTTGGTGGTAGCTTCACCCTTTTCATTCTTGATACTAGTAATTTGGTTTTCTTCTTTCTTTTTTTTTTAAACTAACCAAAGGTTTATCTATTTTATTGTTTTTTCATAAAACTAGCTCTTAGTTTTTATTAGTTCAATAGTTTACTTAATTTCAATTTTATTAATTTTTCCTTTGGTTTTCAATATTTCTAATTTGTTTAGTTGAGGATTTTTAAGTTGTTCTTTTTCTAGTTTTTTTAGTTGTATGCCCAATTCATTAATCTCCTCTTTTTCTATTTTATTTATGTAAGCATTTAGAGATATAAAACTTCCCCTAAGAACTGCTTTCGCTGCATCCCATAAGTTTTGGTATGTTGTCTCATTATTGTCATTCTCTTGAATGAAATTATTGATTGTTTCTATGATTTGTTGTTTGACCCAATCATTTTTTAGGATTAGATTATTTAGTTTCCAATTATTTTTTAGTCTATCTTTCCATGGCCCTTTATTACATATAATTTTTATTGCATCATGATCTGAAAAGGATGCATTTAATATTTCTGCCTTTCTGCATTGGATTGTGAGGTTTTTATGCCCTAGTACATGGTCAATTTTTGTGTATGTGCCATGTACTGCTGAGAAAAAAGTATATTCCTTTCTATCCCCATTCAGTTTTCTCCAGAGGTCTATCATACCTAACTTTTCTAATGTTCTATTCACCTCCTTAACTTCTTTCTTGTTTATTTTGTGGTTAGATTTATCTAGTGAGAGGGGGAGGTTCAGGTCCCCACTAGTATAGTTTTGCTGTCTATTTCTTCCTGTAACTACCTGTATTTCTCCTGTATAGAATTTGGATGCTATACCATTTGGTGCATATATGTTTAGTAATGATATTACTTCATTGTCTATGGTGCCTTTTAGCAGGATGTAGTTTCCTTCCTTATCTCTTTTGATTAGATCTATTTTTGCTTTTGCTTTGTCTGAGATCAGGATTGCTACCCCTGCTTTTTTTACTTCAGCTGAAGCATAATATATTCTGCTCCAGCCTTTTACCTTTACCCTGTATGTGTCACTCTTTTTCAAATGTGTTTCCTGTAAACAACATATTGTAGGATTATGGTTTTTAATCCATTCTGCAATCCGTTTCCATTTTATGGGAGAGTTCATCCCATTCACATTCACAGTTATGATTACTATCTGTGTTTTTTCTCCATCCTTTTCCCCCATTTATGCTTTTCTTTCTCCTTTTTCCTTTCCCCCTTCACTAGTGTTTTGCTTTTGACCACCGCCTCCTTCAGTCCCTCCTCCCTTTTATTATCCCTTTCCCTTTTCTTCCCCTTTACTCTTACTGCTCTTCCCTCCCTTCTTTCCCCCTCCCTTTTCTTCCCCCTCCCTTTTCTTTCCCCTTTTCCCTCCTACTGCCTATAGGGCAAGTTAGATTTCTATACTGATTATGTTATGCCCTTCTTGAGCCAAATCTGATGAGAGTAAGGTTCAAACAATGCTCACCCCCCCTTCTTTCCCTCTGCTGTAATAGGATTTTGTGTCTTTTCCTGTAATGTAATTTACCCTTGTCTGCCTCCTCCTTTCTCAGTACATTTTCTAAGATCAGATTGATCCACTTATTTGGATCCATTTAACCCACTTGATTAGATTTTTTTTTATCATTACATCAAAGTCAACTAATATCCACCCTCTTTATGTATACTCCTTTAACATGGTGTAATAACAATACAGTTCTCA